GTGGACTGCAGCCCAGAAGGCGAGAAGGACAAACGGCACACAGTTTGGTCGTTAGTGACTTTATTTCCCGGTGCCAAGTCAACTTCTGTCCATCTCGAGCTTTGCGCCATCCTACATCAGGCAGACTAAACAAGGCCTAGGTAAGCGGTGAACAGGCATACTTAGTACGTGCCTAAGCCAACGCAACTTATTCAGTGCTATCTGTTGTTCTAGGGAGCTAGCATGATTATCACTACCTAGAACTCACCTACGCACATCATTGCGGACACGCTGGTGCCATCCGACACCAGCAATGTTTTGCAGACAACGATGATCATAGAATTGAAGGCGCCTCAGATCTTCAGACCGAAGGGGCCAAGTTTCACTACCGTAGTACTGGACGACCCTCACTGTGGCCTTGTATACACGGTCTTTTAGACGGGGAAACTCCTTTTTGTCGCCACAGATGCCGCAGGTTCAAGAAGGCAGTTCTGACCTTTGTAATACGGGAGCTGACTACAGTGGTTGTGCGCCCATCGTTGCTGATGCAGCTGCCAAGGTAAGTGGATTGATCAACCACCAAGTTCTTCTTTAGCAAAGGTCACGAGGTCATAACGTGACCGGTGGTCCTGCGGCCACACTTTGCATTTTAAAGGTGTGAAGCGCATACCAAATAACGGGATCACTCTAGACAGACTATCCAGGGTTGATTGTGCCGCCGCTAGGGAATACTCCATGATAGAGTCCAAGACGAAATTGAACAAAAATGGGGAAATCGGTTAACCCTGACAAACATTACTTGTGGTCGGGAAGCTATCCGACAGGTCGCCGTAGACCATGACGCGGCCTAAAGTGTTCAAGTACAGAGCACGTAGGATGTTTACCTATTTCGTGGGAACACCTTTCTGCCTAACTATTTCGAACAGAATGGATCGAACGCACACTTGAAATCCAGGAACACAGCTATTGTCGGTCTGTTGTATGCGTGACTCTGCTCTAGCACCTGCCGCAAAGTGAATATATGGTCTACATAGCTACGTTCTGGGCAGAAACCTGCCTGCTCTTCCCTCATCCGTGATTCCCGTTCCATAGTGAGGCGACGAACGAGAATGGAGGTCAGCACTTTTGTCACAACTGCGTTAGTTCAATACACCTTGGTTAGAACAGTCCATGCGACTGCCTTTCTTGTGTATTGCCACTATAATCGATTCGCTCCGGTTAGCCGGGACACTCCCTTCCAGACACATTCGAATAGGGAGGTCAGTGCTTTGCAGAAGACTTCATCTCCATCCTTAAATAGTGCAGGTGGGAGGGAATCTGGGCCAGTGGCACGAAAACGATTGAGGGCATTGATCGCGTTTCGGACCTCGGCCTCCGACGGAGGCTCTAAACTATCCGTCCATGGTTCGTCCTGCATCACCTGAATAGGAAGAGGTCCGGGAGCAGAGGGCCAGCTGAACTGATATTGAAAGTGTTCCACCCAACAAGCCATACGGCGCTCCTTATTGTATATCAGCGCACCCGCGCTGTCTCGGATTGTCTCACTGACGCCTGGTTTCCTGGGATTAGTGGTGCGGACTAGCTGGAAGAGCTTGCGGTAATTGCCTACTGCTCCTGCCTCCTCAATTTCCTGAGCCCTACTGGTCCACCATGCTTACTTGTCAGCATGTAGGCTCCGCTTTAATTCACGCCTAATAGCCCGTCTGGTTACATTGTGTTCAGAACCAGCCGGGAGGTGCCTTCTAGCATCCAAAAGGTTCACGGACCTCTCGGATATCCAGTGACTGGTGCGGGGACGATGGATAGTGCCACAAGCAGATGCTTCTGCGTCGTGCATGGCGGCCGAAATCTTATTCCACTGAAGCTCAGTGTCATTAGGACAAGACAGCGGAAGTTCGGTACGCAGCGCTTCTTGATAGGCTTTCCTGACCGAGGACTGAGACAATTTCTCCGTTGCAAATCGTAGGGGACGCCTGGTGCGCCTCCCGTTAAAGTTCATGGAGAAACGACAGCGTACCAAGGCATGATCAGTGTCGACACAGGTACTCCAGTACTAGCGGCAATCCAGAATGGAACCACGCCATCTGTAACTTATGGCTATGTGGTCAATTTGGGTCCATCGCTGGCCAGCTACAGGAGGACGCCAAGTGGCACTTCGGCGCCCACTGTGTCTAAAAGCAGTGCTACTAAGAAACAACTGGTGCTCCGCACACAGTTGCAGCAGACGCTCACCGTTGTCAGTCCGTTCGGAGTTAAGCCCACAGTTACCACCCAGCTGAGCTTCTGAAGAGCTCAGACGCCCTACTTGTGCGTTCATATCCCCTGCAAGTACTATAATATCTGAACTAGTAGCACTGCGTAGTAGCGCGTTCAGTTCGTGATAGAATGTGTCTTTGACAGCATTAGAACTGCAGTAGGTGGGAGCATAAGCGGAAATCACAAACAAACAGCGCTTTGTGCTACTTCGTTAATCAACCTTAGCTGATGTCGTCAAACAGACTGCACATAAACGGCTGTTTACCGGAATCCAATCGACGAACGTTGACTCAGCCTTTGAGCTCAGAATGAAACCTACACTAGATTGAGCCGTGAGTGCCACATCGGCGTCTCCAGATACGTGCAACCAATAACGAGAGGAAAAGCCTTGCGCAGTTAATTCAACAGCCCCGTTAGGGTCATTGATTCTAGTTTCGGACAGAGCATACATCAATGCCCAGTGTGTCCAAGCTGCGTGCGGGTGCAGCCTGTTGACCTACTTATCTTAGCTTGCGAGCGTTGAACGACGCCATGGAAACGGGACAGCGTGGCCTTTTAAGGGACTGTTTCTGATAGGCGTCCGATGCGTGTTGTGGTAAGGTGGCTGCAGATGGTTCTACTCCAGTGGCACTTCAGTTGCTGGTAGTTAAGCTAGGAAATATAGAAGGGAGGTTAGTAATGTGGGTCATGATGGGAATAAGGGAAGCAGATGGAAAAGAAAGAAGGGAGGCGCTAGCAGTGGCTTGTTTTCGCTTATCCGCTCTGCTGTATGCAGCAGATAAGGCGACCCTTGATAATCTGCGCGACGGCCGATCGATGGCACAATATTAGTTCTTCTTTTACTACTCCCCACTCTCCGTTCATATTCCCACACATTCCTCGGTGAGTCACTGCGCTGACGTTCGCTCCTATTCCCATCATCAGTACACGTCTTCTTGTATCATACAGTGCTTACGGTCCGCTGTATCTGACCTTTCTGCCTTCTGGGATCCCTGATCGATTACGCACTCCGTCTCAGACCAGTATTTACTAGCCCTTGTCTTGGCATGATAGAATGGACACTGTAAAGCATCCAGTGCCGCTACATCGGATAACGTACAACCAAAGTCATTAAGTCTGCTGGTGAAATTAGCTAATTTTTGCGCCGCTGGTCACTCGATCTTTTTGTGGTAGCATGATTGATTGATTGTCTCGAAGCTTTTACTCCCATTTACTTCGAGGAACTATCTGTTAACGGTACTCAGATCAACCGACTGTGGAACCGTTAGTTCTTCTCCTCTTTTACTACTCATGAGCGCAGCTATTTTACCAAAATTCTTCCTGATAAAGTTAAACCTACGTCTTTGTAGCCCATATGTCACATAGCCACGCTTTTCCCCACCGTTCCTTGAGCAACCATTTAGGCTTAAAAGAGAAGTAGGGTGAACAGTGCTTTTATACGGGTCAATAAGCACTGAGATTTACAAGCCCCGTTGGGTAGTCTGGTGGTTTATCGAAGAACGTTAATGATAAATGTGCAGCTAGTAGTTCTACTGTCAAAAAATGTGCCTACCATATGTAATGCAGTAGCCCTGCATTCCGAATGTTTCCATAGATTCAAGAGGCGATAAACATAAATCCAGGATATTTCCCGGAAGTAGGATGGAGAGTAGCGTCAAGTGACTCTCCATCCTGAGTTTATCAAGCAATATAATCTCGACTGTTGCATCGTTGAACTAACTGTAGCTTACCTACGCTCGATCATTTCTGATCATTTAAGGACATTGCACCGTTGTCTCTGCACAATATTTCCCGAAGTTTAGCCCCAATTCTAACTCATGCGTAACCAGATGGATTGTTGCCGTGAGTCTATATTTACTCACTGTTCAGATTATGTATACTTTCATTTAGCCGAACGAGTCTGTGCTGAGTGTCTGCTCAGCCGCTTCCCTCAAAACATTACCATAGGAAGCGAGCTTAATATTAGAGTAACGTCTCTTAAACGGGGTCGTTCTTATGAGTGTGACCAGCTTGACTGAAGTGCATTAATAAACCTGCGAAGCTTGTTGTTGTTCCCGTGTAGGCGGCTCAGAAAAATGTCCATTATTACTCAGTGGTGGACATCAAACCACTATCTCGTTTGTCGTAAACTTTAAACTCCAAGTTGATGGAAAGACGATATTGTTGTTGCATATTTGCTGTATAAGTCTTTCCAGCATGGACAAACCTCTGTCTTATTTGGTGTCATTAATCATGCGATCCGATGTTATAAGCGATTAGGTTAGTACAACGCATCGTTTCGTGAATCTGTGCTCTACATATACACTGCATCGACACGTTGAAATCATAACATAATAATCATTCATTTCAGCAGTTAATTTTATATGTTCGAAGCACGACGGCAATTGTCTGCTATCGCATCTTGGTTTTCGATTTGCTCCTATCTGTTCACATTCTGCAAGTTTTGGCCTCGATTCTTATCGAGGCGCACAATAACTCACACTACTTACGATCACCACATGTTTCCTCCAGAATTACGTCTCTCGTGATATCTTCTGCATATTTGTCGTGTGACATTTTCCTTCCAATCGATACTCTTCATCGCCGAACAAATTGTTCCGTAACACGTGCGCTCGCACGAATTAGCTATCCGTACAGAGCGACTTTTCTCAAGCCCTCCACACAATATTTTAATGAGCTAGCGTAGTTACTACTCACCATCTCCTGATAGTACTTCTTAAAACAAAAATAACGTGAACCGAAAGAGACTTGTTCAGGTTACTTACTTGTGCTGCTCTGTCTGTGTAGCTGACACAGTACAAAAATCCAGCGGATATGTAGGATGAGATGGCTGCCAAAATTGCAAATCCAAACGACCAAGAGAGAAAGTTTTGATCAGGTCTTGGCATCCAGGATCGATCTTGAGACTTTATCCCAAAGGTGATTGCACTGACGGAGAGAAGCACCGCTATGAAAAGCTAGAAGAGTTTCGGGCCAGTTATCTCAAGTGTAAGTAATGTGGAGGTTTCCGAAAATAAATAATCCCTTATTTTTCAGGAACTCATGGTATTTTACAAATATTATTTTGGTGCACTTCATACAATTTGATTCATTTTATTTCCATCAAGTAAAATGCAGTGCTAACCTACAGTGCCAGTTTATACGTTTCTGCCTGTAACTATTAAGCTGGCTTAAATAGTCTTCTGCTGGATATTTTTCTCCTATTCACATGATTCACTGAATGAAGCTGGGAGCCCTATGACGAAGTTTCCATCACTTCACTTCGACCGACAAAGCTTGGTATTCGCTTTGACTCTCACTACTTATGCTTTCAACTACGGATCTGTTCGAGAATTGCTCGCGCACTTATATATCACAGGCGTGACTCTATTTTATTCATAGCAACTTTGCCTATCTGTTATTTTTTCATGCGAGTTAGTTTCCACAAGAATCGCCTAACATCTTGCACTTGACTGACCTTCCGAGTCATAGAACTCACAGTTGAGAAGTGTTAGAAGCCCGAGGATAACGACTGCGGCACTTATGTTGAGGATCTTCAGAGTATACTTATCGTCCGTTTATACTTAAATTAACCTTCCAATCTTCATCCAACTATTGGACCGAAAACAGCAACACTAGGCTTGAACTAATTGCTATGGTGGATGTCTCATGCTTCGACGGGGATCATGAACCGCTCTATAGGCATGCTATTAACCCTTTATCCCATATCATACTGTTTCTTCCATTTAAAACTTTTGTGCTTGTCGTTTTTTTCCAGTGTCGCTGCACACATATACCGTGAACCACATTTTGGTTATTACCTTACATAAACTTACTATGTTAAACAGTCTTTTTAGTTTCTGGCCTTTTTGACTTTGAACGTAAAGCAAAATCGTAGTGCTACTACATCTAAGCTTTAGAGCTTCCCAACTTGAATGCCTAGGGATATTTACAGCCGCATGCACCGTGAATGATGCACCCACTCGCCCTCTTGTTATATGCATCATCCCTCCTTTCTGAAGTACGATTTTCTAATTAGCGCTTCGTTTTTCTATAGTTAGTTTGGTCTTTTTCTTTTACGTCAGCTGTTGAATTGCTTGGACAACGGCCAAACACCTAAGCGCCATACTACAGTCCGTTATCTTCTCACCTATTGGTGGATTTGCCTTCAATCCATATCATTCTGTCCATTGCCTTAACGATGGTTTTCGTGGCAATCAATTGAGCTATGTTAGCTGGAGCTTATTGCACCTTCAGAGCCACTCATACCAGATGCGTCCGTGGTTATAGGCTAGACAAACTCAGTCTCTTGGTCCTCCAGGTTGGAGTGAGGTTGGCTCCTTATTCCTTACAACGGACTCCCTATAGTTGACTGCCCAACTCGCCGCCTTGCAGTCGAGTTTATGAAACAAAGGCTTTGGTTTAGAACCCCCATCTTTCTCCAGTCTCTGCCTGGGCAGCCTGACAGTATTCTGCCTATGTTATACAATGACCACCTTCAAACCATTTTTGATGCTCTGGCTGTCGCAGAGGATAATTAACGGCGCCATATCTACTGCATCGAGCGGGGTGGATAAGGGTTTAGCCGCTACTACTCAAGCCTTCCCGTCTTCCTATTCCCCCTTTTACACTTTTTCACCATTCTCGTCCCGTTCCAACCACTTTTACCCCCTTTTTCAATTCTCAATTCTTGTCCCTGCCCTACCTTGCTTTGATAGGCGTTTATCTGCTACTTTCCACGCAAACCAAACGTGGAGCATCACTGCTGCCATATAGACAAACCCATGTCTAACGAAGTGATCAAGCTTAGTTCATTGGTTTCTATTTGGAGCCCTCAATCTTCCCTAAGAATGGCATACGTTATTGTACGCACAGTGTTATAGATCGGGCATTAGAGACTCTATCGATCGATATCTGCTGCCTATCGGAAACCCGCTTACAAAACTGGAGCTCTATACTCGCTTTGCGATTCCATTCAAGTGACACTAGCAGTGCTTTCTCATTGAGCCTATCCGGAGACGATGCAGCTTTCAGTGCCGGCCAAACCGATGTTAATATTGCCCTGAGTCCCGGGCTGAAGCTGCCCTGGTCGGTTGGATCCCAATGGACCCGCCGGATGTGTGGCGTTCGACTGGATGGCTCGTTCGGAACTTCGAAGTCGTGCCAGACTAATAGGTATCGGTTCGTCATCGTTGCATACGTGCCCACAAACTATAGCGCTGACTGGGTAAAAAAGGACTTCTTTCACCAACTGAACGCGCCCTTTCGTCACAGAAGTAGCACGGACGCTGTAGTGCCAGCTGAGGATCTGAACGCTCAAGTTGGAAATTTGTCCACTGCTGAGCTGCATCTGGGTGGCTAACATGATGTAGGCCCCCGAAATGATAACGTTTAGCAGTTACTTCATTTGTGTGAAGATACTCGCTTATTTCTTGCGAACACTAACTCTTAACACAACACCCGCCGGAGAGTGACATGGTACCCATCAGTCTTGGACGCAAATCGATCACATTGCGATCAGCTACCTCTGGAGAGGCTGCGTCCAAAACTCCTTCGATGTTTTGCACATGTGTGGATACTGACCGTGCACTTGTATGTGCTAATCTGCGGATGCATTTTGGCGGACACTCACGACGACGCTATGAGCGCACTGACACCAGCCAACTGGCGAAGCCAGATGTTCTGGTTGCGTGCCGAACTACGCTGACATCTGGGCTGAGTAAACGCTCACTGAATACAGTTGAAGGTCGCTGGTCGCATGTTCATCAGACCTTATTAGCAACAGCCAAATTTTCATGTGTTAAGTCTAATAAACAACATGGACATTGGGTCTTTACGCAGTCTCTGGAACTTATCCATGCTCGCCGGTACATTCCGGCTGGGAGCGAACACAACGAGACTCGAAAGACCTCAGCACAAAAATCCGTTCTCGCCTGAAGAGGGACCGCGAAGTATATCACTCCCCTCCCAGGCCAGTTTGTTCAGATTTTCTGTGTCATATATCGTAATTTTTGTCTTCAATTTTTAATTCGGTATTGTTTGTGATTCTGGATTATCCAGTATTATATTTTAAACCGTTTTCGGCAGTATTTCTGTCGTTTTAGACTGCCTTAATTCTCGTCCGTCCTGGTCGTATTTTTCTCCTGTCCTCGTCAGGCCAGTTTATCTCGTTCTTTTCATTGTTAAATTGTTTTATGCTCTAAATATTTGTGTAATTTACTCACATCAGTTATTTGGATTTACTTCCTCACAACTATCTATACTAGTTTATTATAATTTCTGTGATTCTACATTACGCTGATGTCGAAGCAGACACCTTTTGGTATTTGCTCCAAACTCGTTGGACATTGCGCAAATGCGATTACATGCAGCTTATGCTGCGTAAAGTTTCATATTTCGTGCATTGGTCTGTCTGTGGACCAATTTCGAGTAATTCAAAGTATTCAGCACTTTTGAAGACCATTTGAAAGCGATGTCAATCTAAACCTGGGCAGAATGGAGCCGAAAAGCCTGACAAGCGGATCATTAGAGCGAAGTGCGCTAAAACCCGCAGCTCGATTTGTCCTGCACCACAATCAGAGAAACAGCCGGCGCTTAGTACGACAGCAAATCTATCCCTGGAGCAAAGTACTGACGATCCGGCAGACTCGGCTTCAAAGTCTACGACTTCTTCAGTTGACACTAAAGCTCTAATTCGCAATAAGCAAATTGGTGCTAACGAATGGAAAATGCAAATACCAAAGAAACCAAGAGCATTGTCCAGCGACGTGAGATGCCGCATCCTAATGGTCTTTCATGCACCTGGATCTTGTGATTCCAATCCTCAGGTGCGCTATGAACATGACGTCGAGTTTTTGCAGACTGGTTGATAGACTGCTCGACGTGAATGAGGGCGGGCTGAAAGTAAAACAGATCGCTTGTCTCGGAAAGAGAACTGAGGACAAAAGTCAACCTATGAGGGTGATTTTTGTCACAGAGGCAAGTCCTAACCTAATATTGTCCCGCCTTAACAGGCTGAAAGGTCTAAAGGTCTATGTGCGCGCTGACTTAAACCCAGCAGACAGAGAGAAACTCAAGTCTGCAGTGATTGAACTAAAGCGACGCATGTACGATGGAGAAACAAATTTCCGTATTGTAACTTTTCGGGTAGTCACCCGGATTCCTCCTCGAATCAGGATCAACAGTTTTGATGCTTCAGGCGCGCCCAGCGGTTCCTACCGCGGCATGCGCGTAGCCTTTACTAACATCTGCAGTGTGATGAACCAACGCGATGAGCCGTACTACTTTGTAACCTCTCAGTGGTCAGACGTATGAGGCCTTGCTGGGACATGGTTAAACTCCAACGTAACCGCCCAAGAAGTGGAAATCAGCGGCTACTCATGCTTCTGCTGGGATCGACCATCAAATGCCCGCGGTGGCGTTCTGCTTTACATAAAGTCTTCCTTGTATGGGAGACTAGTGAGCGCCTACCGAAGCGCTGATGGTCTATATGAGCAGTTATGGTGTTCGGTTCACCTCAAACGCTGCGAGTTGCTCGTGGGTATGCTATATCGTAGTCCACTGAGCCGCTGCTTGGACTGGTTGCTGCATGTCCGCAACCACGTGAGTCGTCAGCTGTTCCTACTAATGGGCGATTTCAACTTACCCCGAATACAGTGGCCTGAGGCTTCAGTTCTCCCCGACCATTGTGAAGTCGAGAGGAAGTTTACAGAGTTGATATTTGAAACCGGGGCCACACAGCACATCAACCAACCGACATGCATAACCGCGCTCGCGAATTCATCGTGATTAGACCTGCTTTTGACCATCTGTGAGCAGCGTGTGCATGACATACAAGTCTTGGAGCCCACCCTGGGAGCGAATGACCATTCGATGATCATAGTCAACTTGGAACTGCCGCTGTCGTATTCTCTCCCGCTGGAGCCAGCCTTCAACTATTGGAAGGCGGATTTTAGTGGCCTCACTCGAGCAACGACCC